ATCTACGATAAGTATATACAATAAGTATAGTAAGCTTTTTCTAATTTTTTAAATCTTTTTTATTTTTTTTAATATTTTGCTCCAATTTTTCTTTTTTGTTTTAATCTTTTTTTCTTTTTCCTGTGGCGATTGCCTATACATTTATGTTGTATTGTACCGTTTGTTGCTCTTATAGGATTTTTATTCTCGAGCGTAATAAAGCAGATTCTATCTTATTCTATTTTAAGCAATGGCATGTGATGTAATTTCAGACGAAAGATGTTTATTGCGTTGCCAAAAATCATAATAACGCCGAAATATTAGGAGTCGCGATGCGCTGATAGCGCCGTGGACGCTTTTTGCTAGAAATCGTGTTACTACGTAGTGCTCAGAGCGCAAAAGACTAAAAGGCTTACTACACCTATTCCACCAGACTCGGGTCCCTATTTTTGAATTTGTACGCAGTATTACGTATACGCACGTTGCGAACAGTGAAAATATGCATACGTTTCCGATGTTGTATTCTTGTACATTATTTTATGATATTAGCAGTTGGAAACGTATCTCATTGCACTGAATTACGCGTGGTAACGTTGGAAAACATACGAACTTTCTGTAAATATTGGACAAAAGTCACAGCGTAGCAAATAATATCCATTACAGTTTATGTTATGCATACATTGTTTAACACGTACATTGATTTCAAACGATTCAAAACGTGTGTATCGATCTCGTTATAATTAACTGCCATAAGCCCGTCATCCATACGATATCTATCATGTCTATCTTTATATCATCGATTAAAACATACACGTTTTTTTTACAACGACTGCTTCGACCGATTCGTCGCGAAAATTCACGTACGCGTTGCGACTGCGAAGAACAACATTCTAGGGATTTTCCATCGCGATCACTCGCAACTTCCCACACGCATGTACGCAATCACTTCGAGAATAGGGGTAGCGAACTTACACAACTGCGACTTTTCATCGCGAAATGCAGTCGTAACGAGCCGGGCGCTACTCATCCCTTTCCCCTTCATTCTCGATCCGTCAAGCCGGTCGACCGGCGCGCCGCTTGCTTGGAATAAAAAAAGAAATAGGAAAAACACGCACACACGCTGTCAACGCGTGTCCCTGTGCGCTTCGCGCACAGGTGGTGCGCTTCTACCGGCCGGGGCGACTCGCTTGGCGAACGGTGTCACGCGACATCGTTGGCAGCCGTGAGTCGGCGGCCGGCGATGTGGACACGGTCGCCTCGGCAACTGCCGACAATTCCGTAAACACACAGCCGCGCATTCGTGTCAAAGGCCGCATGAAAAAAAGCTGCTCGCGCCGCGGCTCGCCTGGCGGAGATGAGCGAGGATGTGATTGCGCCGCGACAACTTGCAACTTCCGCCTGAAAGCCTCTCTCTCTGGTGTCGTCGGCACCGGCGGATCTCCCGAGCCCCGGCCGCCGTCGCCGTCGCGACGATGTCGGAGAAGAAGGCCGCCGAGAAGGTCTCCGAGATTGACGAGCACATCAGCAAACAGTACGACATCGTGCGACGCCTCGGCAAAGGGGTAACTCGTTCGTTCGCACCACCCCCTTCCTCCTCTGCGCGGCTCGTCCGAAGGGATTCGCGGGTCCTGCGTGACGATAATGAATCGTGGATTTGTCGCGCTTTTCTCTCTCGCATCATCCGTCGGTGAAGTGAAAGCGATCGGGATGTGAAGGGAGGGAGGGAGGTTACAGCTTGCGCGCATATCGACGCGGCAACTTTCCGCGCTTTCCTCGCGTTATGTTGAAATATGCGATCGCGATGAGGACTTACACACACGGTCGTGAATATTTCAGAGGCGCGCTTGAATCGTCGATGAATCCAAAGCAACATGTGATTTCGCACCCATGCCGTTCGATCTGAGCGTTAAATTGTCGTAAGCTGTCATTGTGCGCGATAACATTCGCGAATTTTGTTCTTTCTTCTTGTTCCTGCACGCGTTAACGATCTTCGAATACTTGAGGGTCTCTAAAGATCTTCGGGGGCAACGTTTTTCATTACTATCACCGCTCTCGCAGTCGCCTTGCGTAATGTCTCTTAAATTGTATTTTTTTCATTTTATTGCTGCACGCATTAACGATCTTCGAATCTTTAGTGATCTTTGGAGATAAAAATATAGATATTCATAAATTTCCACAGGTAAATATTTGAATTGCAAAATCGCTTTGCAGTCGTTTTAATATAAAATATTTCCCTTTCGAATATTTTATCCCCTTTATTTCTTTCTATTTCATATTTACTTTACCTCTCTCTCTCTCTCTCTCTTTCTCTCTCTCTCTCTCTCTTTCTATCTCGCCCTCTCTCTCTTATTTCTTTCCTTCTATTTCAATCCTTTCTCTTCTATTTCAATCCTTTTATTTTACTACTGTTTGCATTAACGATCTCTGAACCTTTAAAGATCCTCAAAGGTACGGATTTCGATCTTTAAGGAAAGTTAAATTATAAAAATCAACCCATAAAGTTAAAATGTAAAAATTAACATTTTCAAATAACTCCGAAGATGAAAAGTTCACTCTTTGCATCTTTAAAGATTTTCACGCGCTGTGTCGAGAGAGTTTATCAGGACACGCGTAGTGCGGCGGATATTAGAATACGGCGATAGAAACTTTCGTTATACGTAGTAACGCGGCTCTCGTCCGGAGTTCCCGAACGCGGAATATCAATAATCGTCGCGACTATCTGGCTCGTTAGGAGAACTTAAGCTGCCGAGGACAATCAATAACGATGCGGTTAAAAGCGGTCGCCGTCGCAACGATGACGAATGGATCGCGCGCGTCGTCGCAAGTCGATTTTTGTCAGCCGCTTCTACTTACGCGGCCGATCCCCATAATGGATTTTGTAAAGCAAGGCTTCTCATTTACGTCGTAATAACCCTGCGAGCGTGCAATGCAAATTGGGATAATGCAATATTCATGCGTATCGCTTGCGCTTGTATTTTGCGGCGTGATCAATGGTCGAGATAATTCCGATCGTGCGGGTAAAAAGCGTCCTTTCCCGATATGACGGACGATGAAATGCGCGATTCGCAAATCTAACGTCGCGATGTCACGCACGGGAAAACAAGGTGCACAGGAAGGGATTTACGTAAGAAAACTTAGATTGTAGCTGTTGTCCCGGCGCACGTGGTGTGCGCCAGCGTCGCTCGTTCTTCCTCGAAACCTACCCTTCGAGAACGCTCGAAGATTAAGGAATCCCGACGAGCTGCAATTCGCGGAGTTATGGACACAGTATTTTCGATTCTCTTGCTGATCTTGCTGATCACGCAATGAAAAAAGATCGATCGAAAAAGTCCGATCGCACAAATCAAACGAGCTCAATTTCACGCTTGCCACACGGCGCATTAACCGCCGGGCGGTTTTTTACTGCAAAATTTTCGTGCTTCTTTTAGTCCTCCTGTTTACATATGCAGAACGTAATTAAGGTCAGACGAAATTCGGTTTAATTAAACCAAATCGAAATTTAGTTCACCGAGGCGATTATAAAGTTGACCCAGCGCATTATCGGTCGTACATATTATTTGACACATTATTTATCGTCCATTTTACTGAATATTTCAACCCGAGGTAGAATTATTTGTATTATACAATTGTCTACTCGACTTTTTAGTAGCGGAGAGAACATCAATATCACACGTGCAATTACATTTCAATTTTGTTACGGCCTTTAGCTAAGCGAAATATTTCGCTTTTAACTGAATATCCAGTCCCAATTTACACGTCAGATTGCCGATCCGACTCGATTTCTACTCAGTTTCACGCGATTGCAGTCCGTGCCACGAAACTTGAATAAATCCGAGACTTGGTCCCTTTCACCTGATTTTTTCTCAATCCGTTAAAGACGATACTAATGACAGGGTGATAAAAAATAGCTGATCTTCTGCGCAGGCCTACGGCATAGTATGGAAGGCGATCGAGAAGAAGAAACAGGACACGGTCGCGGTGAAGAAGATCTTCGACGCTTTCCGAAATCAGACGGACGCGCAGCGTACGTTCCGCGAGATCATGTTCCTGCTGTCGTTCGCCAATCACGAGAACATCATCCGGCTGATCGGGCTGCACAAGGCGAACAACGACCGGGACATTTATCTGGTTTTCGAATACATGGGTGAGTTTTAAGCCGAAGAAGGAATCGACGCGTCACGGTCGGTTCTCACACACCGTCGGCCTGAATGAAACCCCTCTCGGCCCGTGTTTCCCCAGAAACGGATCTACACAATGTCATCAAGCGCGGCAATATCCTCAAGGACATCCACAAGATTTTCATCATGTATCAACTTTTTAAGGCGATAAAGTACATACACTCGGGCAACGTTATTCACAGGGACTTGAAGGTGAGTTTTCCGCCAAGGGGAAGCCGCTGAAAAGCTTCTCTTACTCTGCGAGTTTCCGAGTTTCCTCTGCACTGAGAAAAAAAGTTTTCAGCATTTCTCTTACTACGAGGTCACGGTGAAAGAATTGTTTAAAAAATTACTGGGTAATTATCATCAATTAATAGGTTGTTATGGAAAATTGAAATAACTCAGTGAAATTAATTAGTTAATTAATTAATTGATATTTATTATTTATTTAATTAAAAAATTAAAATCATTTATTTAGTTTCGTGAATTGGTCACTGCCTTACCTTGTACTGACTTGTACTGACTTCAGTGTTGACAATAACTTTATACGCATACTGTTACCGTTATTTTTCCGTTTAGAACAACACGAAAGCGCCGAGAACGAGATTGAAAATTAACTATTTCCCTCAGTGCGGTGAGGCAACGCTTTCGGGAGAAGTTTCGCGTTTTTAATCTCAACTTTGCTCACATTTTTTCAATGTGCTACCATCGCCACATGTATCTCTCGCTTTTACATTTACTGAAGAGAGAAGCGGTTTGCGCGTTTTCTCATATTCGCGTAATTCTCATATTCGCAATCTCACGATTGCACAAACTTTTCATTACATCATGTTTCGCGTTATCGCGGAGGATGATGATGATGATGATGATGATGATGAGGGGGAGGAAGAGTCGGCGGTGACAGCGTGTATCGTCATGGGTGTGCATATTGTGTCGAGTTCGCGTTATCCTGTTATTGCAGCCGTCCAACGTGCTCCTGAATGCACAATGCCACTGCAAAATCGCGGATTTCGGGCTGGCACGTTCGGTTACGCAGATCGGCGAGGGCGATGGTGAGGCTGGAAGCGATCCAACCTTGACGGACTATGTCGCTACTCGGTGGTACCGCGCGCCGGAGATCCTCATAGCTTCAAAGAGGTACACGTTTATTTGGCTTGCGCGTTTCCTTTCGCGCGTTCTCGCGTTTCCTGGCCTGTTTATTTTTTTTCCGATGATCTTTATGATCTTTCGCGTGCGCGGACGCTTTTCGAATAAAAGGAGAGGAAGAAAGTTTGCAAACACCAACCTGAAGTTTTCACTTTAGAACGTTGTCTCTGTAGGCAGTGAAAAAAGTAAAAGAGTTCATTTTCTTTGCAAACGCTAACTTTTGAAACATTTTCTGAGCTCGGCGTTTGTTAGTTTTTTTTTTTTCATTCGCGATCGTCGCAAAATCTCGACGCTGGCGCATCGAGTGGATGAACTGGATGATTGCAAGCTTAAGGCGATTGTGGATGTACACCTGAACTATTTGACAGACACGTGGACGGGGGCGACCGCGGCTAAGCGGCACGAGCTCGTGAAGCTCTCAACTTCCAGCTTGTTGCTCGCAATCTTGACGCAGTTTGAGCCAAACGTGGGCACGGCAGCGTAAACCCTCGGAGTTAATGGAAGTTTCCAACTAAGAAGTTAATCTTGCTATGTAATTTGCAAGACTGCCGAGGATAATAAGACGATGCATAATTGAGTTGAGTCGGGGGTATTTTCACAGAGAGAGGGGAAGGGAGAGAGAAGAAGAAAGAGAGAGAGAGAGAGAGAGTGAGAGTGTGTGTAACCCGCATCATTTAGAAGCAATCACGTCAATCAAAATGAACTCCGTTTGTGAAAACTGCGGCGTNGCAATCACGTCAATCAAAATGAACTCCGTTTGTGAAAACTGCGGCGTAACATTACAGTTATTAAATTAATCTCGGAACGATCCGTCACAAAGGAAAAATGGATTGGTTTCATTTAGTTGAATTATAACTTGCTGGATAAAATTAAATGTTATAACTAAATGTTATAAAATTAAATGTCATAACTAAGCAAATTTATAGCTCGTACCGTAAAGAAATTATATATGGAAGTAATTGCCAATTTGCTTACAGAACAAACCCATTTTTACAGATATACTATCTTAGT